CCCCAAAGCAGAAATGGTAGTGCTCACATTGTGTGGGAAAGAATTATTTTCATTTTGTGGAATTTAATGGGCTACCCTCCCCACCCAATTTTTAATAATGTTGCTAACGAGCCAGAGAGAAGAACTAACATAATTCACAGTACACAGTTATTAACATGCGCAGGACCCGCACAGGAAGACACACACGCTTTTATAAGGGCAGCTCTAGGCTAAAAACACACACATACAAGCCAACAAGGGCACAGAGGAAAGAGGACCCACATTGAACTAGTCAGTGTGTGTCTTAGACTGGGCTTCCCAAGGATTTGACAGCACATGGTTTCATTGGGAGGTGATCCCAAGAAGCGTGAGAAAGAGAGGGGCGGTGACAGAGGAGAGGATGCTGGTTAGCATGGAAGGAGCCTGCTAGTCCTGCTGCGGAAACGGTAGTGCATGAGCCTCAGTGTTCTCCCTCCCAGGAGCGAGGCAGCTCCCACCAGTAGTTGTTGGCTGAGGGTCTGGGGTGCCTCGATGTGCCCTGTCATGAGAGGGTACAGCAAGCTTTCCCGGCAGCAGAAGCTCTTGGAGGAAGAGAGGCAGATGTGGCAGGTGGAGGGAAGTGGTACAGGCCCCAGGGTATGCTGGGGCTGACAGTGTCTGCTGCCCTGTGGGAGCCAGTGCCTTCGCGATGACATGTCATTTCATCCTCATGATAATGCAGATGATATGGTCTATACCCGTGATCGGCAAACCGAGGCTCGAGAGCCACATGCGGCTCTTTGGCCCCTTCAGTGTGGCTCTTCCACAAAATACCATGTGCGGGCGCGCACATACAGTGCGATTGAAACTTCATGGCCCATGTGCAGAAGTCGGTATTTTGGGGAAGAGCCGGTATTTTGTGGAAGAGCCACACTGAAGGGGCCAAAGAGTCGCATGTGGCTCGCGAGCCCTGGTTTGCTGAGCCGCAGTTTGCCGACCACTGGTCTATACTATGGAGGTGGGGGAGCTGAGGACCAGAAGGTTCCGGTGTTTCTCAACCAGAGTGTTATTCTTTACAACACAGGGTGTTTCATGCCCTTGGCTTCCCCTCCTACATACCAGTGGCATCGCCCTCCCCCAGTCATGTGACAACTAATTAGCCCTCCCACCAGAAGGAAAACAGTCTCCCCCTCCCCTACCACGTACCCGCAAGTGCCGGGTGGAAGGATGCCCTAAAAGACGGATCTTCCTTTTAAGTTACTTCACACCTGCCCCCAGGGTCATAGGCATTGATTGGACTGGGAATGAGCTGGTGTGAGGCAGTGTAACTCTTGAGCAGTTTACTTGACTTATGTAAAATGAACAACCTTAAACTGAATTCATAGGAGACTTGGAGGACTGAATAATGAACACGAAGGTAGCACAGTGCCTGGTATACAGTAAATGCTCAGAAATTTTTAACTATTATTATTCATTGAGGAGCTCTGTCCTTGCTCAGAAATCTATTTCTTGCCTCGTCTTTATTTCTTCCCCATTTTTCTCTCTTCCATCTTTCCTGCCCCTGGGCCTCATCCATCCTCCATGAGACCTCCAAGACAGAGGACAGAACTGATGCTTGAGTCTCTGTCTTCAAGAAATAAAGGTGCTGTTGCTCCGGCCAGAGTCACCTGTAAGCCACAGCCGGAGCAAGCCAGGGAAAGGCCAGGCAGGAGCGGCACCCCGAGTGTTATGAGGGGTATGTGGGTGCATTCAGAGACGTGGGAACCTCAGTGTATGTAACGTGCTCGCCCGCCATCTGCACACTCACTGACAGCAATGTCTAAGTAATCGTGGCTTCCAGGAGAGTTTACCCAGATTTCTCTTTTATTTTCTTTGCCGGGAAGGTAGGTCTTTTGTAAGCTTCTGGTGGTGTTTGGCAACTTCTCTCATACTCAGGTTACCTGCCAGAACCTGCTCCACTGGCCAGACCATCGAGATGGCGGTCGGTCTGGCTAACGTTTGCCTGGGTCAGGCCTGGGTCAAGGTTATGAGCTGATTCTATGCTGCGTAGAAGTAGAGCCTCCGCCCACTTTCACTTTGGTGGCAAGTCTGAAGCCATTCCTGGCCGTGCACCCCCTTCCGTGCCCTCAGCAACATGAAAGGAGGAGCCAGACCAATATTAGTGTGATTGCTTTTGTGTGTAGGATGCGGGGAGCTAAGCGGGCGTGAATGTGACCTCTTCAAGCTGTGGGAGCAGGATTCAGCCGTAGTGATTCCCCAGGAGCCGAGGCGCTGTCTGTGTTATGCATCCCCTTGCACGAGAGTAGTAACTAATAGGAATGCTGGGGTTTAACGTGGGCCCACCACATGCCAGGGGCTGGGAACACACGACTGTTCTCCTCACCACAACCTCAGTTGGTATTACTATGGTTCCCATTTTGCAGATTAGGAAGCAAACTCAGAAAGAGCAAGGATTTGACTGCGAAGGTCACAGAGCTAGAGAGAAGCACACTAGCTGGGATCAGGGCCATCTTTTGGACTCTCCCCTCTACTGTCGGGTTTCGCAGCCCTGGGCCTGTTGACATTGGGGGATAGATAACTCTGTTGTGGGGTTGTCCCATGCATTGTGGGCTGTTTAGCGGATTCCCTGGCTGGATGCAGGGAGCATTTTCTCCGCTCCCACCAACTGCAGAAACCAGAGATCTCTAGACATTGCTCCGGTTGAGAACCTAGCCCAGTGATGGCGAACCTTTTGAGCTCGGCGTGTCAGCATTTCGAAAAACCCTAACTTAACTCTGGTGCCGTGTCACATATAGAAATTTTTTGATATTCGCAACCATAGTAAAACAAAGACTTATATTTTTGATATTTATTTTATATATTTAAATGCCATTTAACAAAGAAAAATCAACCAAAAAAAATGAGTTCGCGTGTCACCTCTGACACTCGTGTCATAGGTTCGCCATCACTGACCTAGCCTTTCCCATGGGAAAACCTCCAGTTCATGCTTCTAAAAAGAACAGTGTTAGATAGTGACCCTCAGCTCCAAATTCTGGGCAATATCTGAGCTCAGACGTCCAGTTTCTCTTTCAGCCTGTCCCTCAAACAGCGTCTCAGTCCATCGATCCTGTGGCAATTCCGTTATTCATTCATTCATTCATTCATTCACTCACTCCTTTATCCAGTGACTATTGATTGAGTGCACATTCTGCACTAGGAGACATAGAAATAAACAAAAACTCTTGCTCTCATGGAGGTTATATTCCAGTAAACAGGAGACACTCAAGAGATAGTATAACCCACTACCCGCACTAACTTATTTCATTCTCATGGCAACTATTGTTTCATGTCCTAGGTGCCCAGCTGGAGACGCTGGGAGGTTAAACGCTTGCTGAGATCACCGCTGGCAAGTAGTGGAGTTAAGACTTATACCCAGGCCGTTAGACTCCAGACTTGTGCCCCTGGCCGCTGCCTTCTCCTTCCTAAAGCTGCATTTTCATCCCTCATCTCCTTCAAGTGCTTTGGATAGTGCCACACCGTGTCCTGGTGTCATTTCAGACTCACAGGTAAATTGAAACTTGTCATCGTTTCCCCCAGATTAACTGTTCACCTTATCTCTCCCAGAGGCGTGATTGTTCTCCCTGCCAATGAGGCTCAACATCATGGTGTCGTCTTGGCATCGTGACCTTCTCCTTCCCCGTAACACCTCCATTTCCAAGGCCTGTTGATTTTTAGGGCAAATCTCTCATCTTCATCCAGCGACCTATCTTGGCAAGCCTATTGTATCCTCTCTTTATAGACAAGGGAGCTGAGGACCAAAGTGGTCACAAACTCTGCATTATGAACAGATTGTGTCATGCGAAAAGTCTTGTCTCTGCGCCTGCCTCCAGAGCTCCTAGAAGGTAAGGACCATGGCTTATGCCACGTCTGGATCCCATACACAGGGCCTAGCCCTTGTGTTGACTCAAAGAACTGGAGCTATGAAGCCCAGAGTTGCAAGGATGGAACTCAGATTGTGTCCTAAAAAGTAATGCTCTAGAAGCCCACCAGAGGGCAGTGTTTTCCCCATGAAAAAGGACATTCCAAAGCCAGTGTAGACTGTAATTCAGAGGCTAGGTTGAGGTCACCAAAGAATTGAAATCTGAATCTCTCTCTCTCTCTCTCTCTCTCTCTCTCTCTCTCCTCTCAGTTTACAATCCTGCGGAGTGTTTAAACACTGATGATGTCTTGAGAGCTATTACTTGGGCACTGGTAGAGCATCAGTATAATGGGATTTGTGCCCTTAGCCAGACTTTTGGCGTTTCTAAGCTATATGACCCTGAGGAAGTCTCTTAACCTCTCCCAGCTTTTATTTTTCTCATCTGCAAAGTGGGTCTGAGAATACCTGCTTGGTCTCCCTCACAGACAGGACCGTTATGAGGCTGAAATTGGACGCATGTGAAACTACAGATGGCTTTACAGATATACACTAGTGTCATTATGGAGGTTATGAAGTTAATTTAACTGTTGGTTTAGAAGTAATTTTGTAGAAAAGCATTGTTTAAAACCTTGCTACTCAAAGTGTGGTCGACAGGCCAGCAGAACTGGCATCACCCGAGAGTTTGTCAGAAGTACAGAATGTAACTCATCCTAGACTACTGAGTTCTAATACTGTGTGTGTTAACAAGATCCGGGGTGATTCGCATGCACACTAAAGTTTGACACTGGCTAGAAAATCACCAGTTTTAGTGAATTAAGAAGATAGCAAGAAAAAAAGTTTTGGAGTTTGTTTGGGAGTTAATATTGAGTTCAGTTCAGTCCCTCTCCTAATATGAGCAGTGTTTGCAATGATGAGCCGAAGCCATGATTAACAAATTGTCCCCAAAGTGCAAAAAAAAGTTTCCGTATCCAAGTTATGCCTTAGAGAGGGTGACTTGAAGTTGAAATAAAACTTTTCAGTCAGTGAGGATAGGCTAGGTTGTGCTGCAGTAACAAACAACCGGACATTTCAGAGGCTTTCAAACCCCAGGGCCACATGGGCCTTCGAGGCGGGCAAGGAGCTCTGTTCAGCCACTCAGGGAACCAGGCTGATGGGGCTGCCACCATCCCACACGTTGCAGGAAAAGAGCTCGGAGGGTCTCACGCTGGCAGTTAAGGTTCAGCCCAGGAGCGACACACTGCACTTTCACTCACAGTTCCTTTGGCCCAAACTAGTGACTTGACTTTACCTGACCACCGGTTGCAGGGCAGGAAGTGTGGTCTTATCCTGTGCTTGGAAGATGAAGAGGAAGAAATAATTCAGTGAATAGCACTACCACGACCACAGCGGCTACTCCTGAGGTGTTCGGAGCAGCGGCTCCCAGGACTGGTTGTGCGGGAGAATTGATAGGGACAGCGTATTAAAGGTACAGATTCCATATCCCCCTGCACAGCGCAGGGACTCTAACCCACAATCAGGACTCGGTTCTAACAAGGGCCCAGGCGATTCTGATTCACTCCCTCCATAGACAAGCATTTGGAAACCACTGGCTTTGAGCCCTTCTACCCCACAACCCCACCTTGGCTATAAAAGACACCATATTCCTTGCCCAGAGCTGCCTTAGCAAATAAGCCCAAACTTGGTGGCTTCGAACAACAGAAATTTATTTTCCTACCATTCTAGAAGCCAGAAGTCCCAAATGAAGGTGTCGTCGGCAAGGTTGGTTCTTTTTGGAGGTTCTGAGGGCAGATCCCTCCCATGACTCTCCCCCAGCTTCTGATGACTGCGGCAATCCTCCGCATGCCCTGGCTTGTGGTCGTGTGACTCGTTTCTGCGTCCATCTTCTCACGGCCTAGTCTGGGTCTGTGTCTTCTTGTCACATAATGTAGGGCCCACTCAGGTCATCTAAAGTGGTTTCATCTTAAAACCCATCATTTAATCCTTCTGCAAAGACCCTTTCCAAACGGGGTCACAGTGGGAGAACATGTTTTCTGGGGATCCACCATTCAATCCACTACAGCCACCCACATTCACACGGAACCGAACCCAGTCTTCCGCCGGTCCAGTCTGCACAGCCAAGAGCAGGCTTTGAGAGCCAGGCACCACAAGGGGTCAGGCAAACCTCATTTTTCTGCTGCTTGTTCCCTACAGCACCCAGGAATGTTCTCATGTTGGGAAATGCTCTCCACTCCACTGTGAGAGTCAGCCAGAGCAAGCTGCTGGAGGAGGAGGAGGAGGAGGAGGAGGAAGAGGAGGAAGAAAAGAATAGGGGGAGAGCAAGTGACAAGCATCTCCTCCATTTGCACAACTCACTCTGCCAAACCATTGGAGAAACCTAACGTTTTGATAGCCTCAGACACATCTAGGACCCGAATGTTGATGGCACATCCCTCCTCAGCTATGAGGGCTATAGTTCTTGGAAACCCCCAAGGTTGGGGACTTCCAGGTGGATGGCCATAAGGTATTATGAGAAAACGAGGTATGGGCATCCAGGTCATCAGATGAACGCTTAGCTTTATAGTCTCTAAAAGAGGATAGTTATGGCAGCACATTAAATGGAACACCTCAATGTGAAGAGGAGGAAGAGGAGGAAGAAAAGAATAGGGGGAGAGCAAGTGACAAGCATCTCCTCCATTTGCACAACTCACTCTGCCAAACCATTGGAGAAACCTAACGTTTTGATAGCCTCAGACACATCTAGGACCCGAATGTTGATAGCACATCCCTCCTCAGCTATGAGGGCTATAGTTCTTGGAAACCCCCAAGGTTGGGGACTTCCAGGTGGATGGCCATAAGGTATTATGAGAAAACGAGGTATGGGCATCCAGGTCATCAGATGAACGCTTAGCTTTATAGTCTCTAAAAGAGGATAGTTATGGCAGCACATTAAATGGAACACCTCAATGTCATCGGCCACATCTTGAATTAACAATAATGGCTCCTCAACAATTATTTTCCATTTAAGCAATTCCTTTGCGCTCCAGAACCATTTTTAGCACATCCAGTGAGATATTATACGTTAATCTGGCTCGGTTTTCGTGATTACACCCTGGAAGGGGGACATTCCTTTCTGTGTGCTTTTCCATTCAGCACCAGTGTGCTGGGAATTTGGCAACACCGAGCCCCCGTGTCAGCTCTGCCTAAGTCACAACCTGGAGGACCTGTGGTTTCCTACTTGGGTGTTACTGAGAGGCGTGAGGAAGTAGAATTCATCTCTAGAGGAGGCACAGCTAAGGGACAGGATTACTGGGAGCCTGGCATGCTGGCCCTGGCCGTCCGTCAGGCTGGCCTCAGTGCCTCACGCGGTCAGCTGTGTGGTCACCCCCTCAGAGCTCAGCCCAGCAGCCAATCATGGCCGGCGTTCCTTTCATTGAACTTATGTGATTTCAATTCATGGCAGGTTGGTCATTCCATCCTTTAGTTGGTTTTGAGTTTGGCTTTTCCCCTCCTAGAATGTAAGCTGCCTGAGGGCAGGGCCTTGCTGTCTTTCCTTCTGCGGTTGCCCCGGCACCCGGCGCATGCCTGAAACTGAGTAGGCCTTTGATACGTGTTCTTTGAAAGACTGAGTGTCCACTTGGTTGTGCTCGGAGCTGACCTGTGGACTGGCCTTGGGCAGAAATGTTTTCTTCTGGGGAAGGAAAATCCTCTGCATGGTGTTCACCGTTTCTTTCCAACCTGGGACTTTGAGAGCCTTTGGTCTGTAGATGTGAATTGCAGTCTCCATGAGGGGAATTTAGTGTGTAATAGTCCCCAACATAGAGACCTTCTGTCTTGACTGCCTGGAGCCGTTGTTCCAGAAAGGGCCCCCACAGGCCTGGGTCCATCCCCCTGTCTGGTTGTGCTGACCAGCTGTGTTCTCCGCTGGCTGGGGGACCGTCGTCACTGCCCTGCCAAAGACAAGTGAATGAGTTCGGGGAAGAGCCCTGAATTCTGTGTCCTCAACCCAGTGCAGCCAACTCCAGGCTGCTCCACTGTGAGTAAGTCACTTCTGGCCTTTGGGCCTTGATTTCATTCATTCACTCAACAAAGGTTTATTGAGTGCCTACGAGGTGTCTGGCACTCTGTTAGGCATTACAGGCCTGCCCACCTGTAATAAAATAGTGAGCAAGAAAGACAGCCCTGCCCTCCTGGAGTTGACAGTCAGGAAGAAAGATGTTAACAAACAACCCACAGACGGGTATAAAAATGCATTCCTGACAGCACTGTGGAGGGGAAGTCCTGGGTGGTGTATGAGATCCTGCCATGAGGGTCTGACCTAGTGAGGGTGTGAGCCATGTCAGAGAAGACTGCTCAGAGCAGGGATCTAAAGGATGAGTAGGAAGGGAGAAAGTATTCCAAGCACGGGAATCTTCTTGGACTCATGCCCTGTGGAGGGAACGATGTGGCAAACAGGCATTTGGTAGCTGAAGAGAGGCCAGTGGGACCAGAGAAAGGAGAATGAGGAGGGTGGGGAGCACAGAGGCCAGAGGAGGCCGGAGCAGGCCACACAGGACCTTGTGAGCTGAGTTGGGGCTTTGGACGTCAACCCAAGAGCTGCGGGGAAGCCATTGCTGTGTCTGGAGTCTGTGAGTGCAGGTGTGAGTGCAGGTGTGAGCAGCAGAGAGCAGATGGACATATGATCAGCTTGGATTTTGAGAAGATACCACATTGGGGAATGGATTGGAAATGGACCAGAGTGGGCATCAGAGGGCCAGGCAGGAAGCTAGTGTAGTCATTTAGATCGGAGATGGTAGACACGAAGAATTTGTCCATGAGTATTTCTGAGCACCTACTCTGTGAGCAAAACAGGCAAAGAACCCTATCCTCATAGAGCTGACATTTTCGTGAGGGGGAGACAGAACATAATAAATAAGTAAGCTAGTGTGATGGGAAGCATTATGTGCAATGGAAAAAGGAAAAGAAATCAAACAGAATAAGTGAGATTGGGAATGGGGATGGTTGGTGGCCGAGATCATTAGGAGATAAAAATGGTGTCATTCCACGATGGAGGGCTAGGTGGGGGGGATTGAGGGAGAGAGAGGTGTCAAGGTCAACTCCTAGGCTTCTGGTTTGTGTGACTGAAGAATGGTTTTAAAAGAGTGTATTAGGCTACCAAACATTACTCAAGTCTTCCTAGTTCTGTAGCTTGTGAGCTCTCTGACAGTGTCCTGTCACCCCGGGGGCGGCGGGCATGCCTGTAATCCGGGCTCCTCATCCCCAGAGGCTACCCTGCTGCAGGAAGCCCCGTCCTGGATCCGCCACATCGCATGGCAGGTCCACGCTGTGGGCGACTGAGGCTCCTGCTTCATTCCCTCTCCCGGGGTTGGTGGCATCTTCCTGTGTGTGATGAGGACTCGACAAACTTGCAGTGTAGCTGCGCTGGGCAGGGATGCGGCCGGCAGCCTCCCAGTGTCCCAGCCCTTGGTCCTGGGTGTCCTCTGTTTCCTGAAACGACTCTGCCTCAAACCTCCAGGGAGCAGGGTGCCTGTGTGTGATGAGGACTCGACAAACTTGCAGTGTTGCTGCGCCGGGTGGGGATGCGGCCGGCAGCCTCCGAGTGTCCCAGCCCTTGGTGCTGGGTGTCCTGTTTTCTGAAACGACTCTGCCTCAAACCTCCAGGGAGCAGGGTCTCTGTGGGTGGATTTCTTGAGTTTGGCTCAGAGCTGGGGTTCATGTGCTTCAGCAGCTCCAGAACACTGGGTCACTTGACAGGGCTTTAGCCTGGTTGGTGATTTCCCATAAGGTCTTAAAGACACGAGGGATGGCACTGGCTGACTGAGACTCAAATCTGAACAGTCCCCACTGTCCCCTTCTCAGAGAAAGGCTGAGGCTTCCTCCCAGGCTCCCTGGGGAAATGCCTGGTGTGGACCAAGGAAGATGACGGAATCACAACTATAATTAACCGGGATCGAATGCTTCCTATGTGCTGACGAGCGTTCCGTGGATTGTTTCACTTCAGCCTCAGAGCAACTCGATGAGGTAAGTGCTGTTCGTATCATCTTTCTCATTTTAGAGATGATGTAATGAGGCTCCGAGAGCTGGTCCAAGTCGCCAAGGTCACCAAGCTAGCAGGTACAGTGCTGGATTCACACCCAGGCCAGCCCTTCTCCGAACCCTCTGCTCCAGCAACTGATGGCTGGGCATGGGGGTCACCCACGGGGGTCTGGTGTGGGGACTCCAGCTCTGACTGCGCTGCATTATGCGGCATTTTGGAGCAAGTCCATCTGTTCATTCCCCAAGTCATTGAATGTTAATCAAGTGCCTTCTCTGCGAGGGCTGGGGACACAATGGGGAGCTCACGTGTGGCTCCTGGGAAAGCTACATCAGCGCATCATCAGGGTTATAGGAGGACAGGTGCTCTGTGGAGCGGACAGGGGAGGGGCGACAGTGCTGGTCTGAGGTAGCGGTGGGGGCCTGCGAACAAGATGTGGCCTTTGTGTTGAGCCTCGGAAGAGAAAGGCATTTCCAAGGCTTTCCAGGCAGACAAGACTGTGGCAAAGGCACGAGCTGTCTGGGTATCTCAGGAGCTTCAGGTCGTCTCTCCAGTTAGAATAGATTCCACAAGGCGTGGCTGTGGGCCATCTATGTGAGGACCGCCGGGTGTGTGCGACGAGTGGTTGTTAGGATACAGATTCCAGGCTGCACCCCATGGAACCAGAACCTTTAGCTGCTGGGGCCCAACAATCTGCATTTCCCCCATTGCCTCTGGGGTGAGCACTGAGGTTTGGTGCAGGTGAAGAGAAGCGGGGCAGCAGCCTGTTCTCATTTGTGACAGAGGATGGCAAACTTTTTCGGGAAAGGGCCAGAGAATAAGCATTTGGGGCTAAGGGGGAAATGGAGGAGAGTGTGTAAATACTTATGTAATCATTTAAAGATATAGAAACAGGTGGTGGGCAGGCTTGGCCCACCTTAGTTTTTGACCTTTCCCTGCTGGCTGCTGTTTTAGAAAGTTAACCGGCAGCCACAGGGAGAAGGACTGGAGCCGGTAGAAGTGAAGAGAGGGAAGCAGTGCCAGGTCTGGGGAAGCAGCTAGAAGGTCTGAGTTAGGGCTGGGAAGCTCCTGGAGAGGGCGAGGATATTAAGAGATACATCACACCCAGCGGTGTGGCTCAGTGGTTGAGCATCGACCTATGAACCAGGAGGTCAGGGTTTGATTCCCGGTCAGGGCACATGCCCGGGTTGTGGGCTCAATCCCCAGTAGAGGGCATGCAGGAGGCAGCCAATCAATGATTCTCTCTCATCATCGATGTTTCTATCTCTCTCTCCCTCTATCTTCGTCTCTAAAATCAACAAAAATATATATTTTTAAAAAGAATCATCTGTTAATATAATTTAAAATAATCTAAAATTATTCTGCACCACTTACCATATGCCAGCTACACTGGGTAATAAAATGACATATACAAGGTCAATTGAAGACAAGCTTCTTTTCTGGCATAAAATTCTAGAAAGCATTTATTGCAAAAGACACTGAAATTCCACTGAAATGGATGTTTCTTATGAACCCTATAAAAGTTAAGGGCATTGTATTAAATCTTAGTACACCATATACTTTTCTATGGGGAGCTGAGCAAATAGCAAGACAAGCTTGTTGCTTCTGATGACCTAACTCAGGAGTCTACAAACTTTTTCTGTTAAAGGGCCAGGTGGTGAAGTGTTTAGGCTTTGCCCAGCCAGTGTGGCTCAGTGGTTGAACATCAGTCCATGAATTAGGAGGTCACTGTTCACTTCCCAGTCAGGGCACATGCCCAGGGTCTCAGGCTCCATCCCCAGTAGGGGGCGTGCAGGAGGCAGCCGATCAATGATGCTCATCATTGATTTTTCTGTCTCTGTCTCCCTTTCCCTTCTTCTCTCTGAAATCAATAAAAAACATTTTTTAGAAAAGAAGAAAGATTAGGCTTGGCAGTCTGTATGGTCACATTTGCAACTACTCTGTTCTGACTTTTTATCACAAGGATACCACAGACATATAAAAGAACGGGTGTGTCTGTATTAAAATAAAACTTATTAAGGAACAATGAAATTTGAATATCATATAACTCTCACACCTTACAATATATTATTCTTTTTTGGAATTTTTAAAAACCATTTAAAAATGTAAAAACCATTTTTAGCTCACGGGCTGTACAAAAACAGGCAGTAAACTTAGAGTTCCCTGTGGGTGGCAGTTTGCTGGCTCCTAATCTAACTGAACCCTCAGCCAGGGCTTAGAGAGCCTAGTGGAGTGCAGGACTATGTTCCGTCCGTTGTTCTCCCCTCTCCAGCCCCAGTGCAGAAGGGCTTCACGGACCAGCAGCAAGGTCATGTCAAGGGCAGACTCAGGACTAGAACCCACATTTTCCAGGTTCAAACTTCTGGCCCTTCTCCTCTCTAGATGCTGCCTCCCTGGATGGAGGAAGCGTTAACTGCGCCAGCCCTGATGTAGGTCTCTTTGCAAATAGAACCTTATCTAGTCTTCCCCACAGCCTTTGTGTGATGTTATGGTCCCATTTTTAAGGTAAAGATGCAGAGGTTTAGAGAGGTTAGAAATTAGCTGCTAGATCATGGATTCAGAATTTATACCCAGGACTTGCTCTCTACATTATAATTTGTGGTTCTTTCCTGTTTCTTTGGGCACGTTTGCACAGTGGCTTTGCTAAGGATTGCCCTGACTTTGATGAAGAATCCTTTGCCTGTGTTTGCTCACACATCCGGGCTTATCCTCCACAAGACTGTTCTTTAATGAAAAGTGACTGGCTTGTGGGGGCAGAAAACATGGCTCCCCCTTTTCAGTGGCAGTCAGCTCTGTGATGGATGGATAGAGTGACAGAGAGAACACAGGGAAGAAAGGCCCGCCCCTCCCCCCCCCCGATTCTTTCTTTTTTATTTTTTTTAAATATATATTTTACTGATTTTTCACAGAGAGGAAGGGAGAGGGATAGAGAGTTAGAAACATCAATGAGAGAGAAGCATCGATCAGCTGCCTCCTGCACACTCCCCACTGGGGATGTGCCTGCAACCAAGGTACATGCCCTTGACCAGAATCGAACCTGGGACCCTTCAGTCCCCAGGTCGACGCTCTATCCAGTGAGCCAAACTGGCTAGGGCCCGGATTCTTTCTTTTAAAAATAATTTTATCGAGGCATACTTGACATACAAAAATAGAACATATTTATACGTGTACAATTTGATGTTTCAACATATACACCCATGATCAAGATAATGAACATATTCATTGTCCCTTCACCAAGGTTTCCTTGTGCCTCTGGTAATCACTCCTTCCCACCCCTCTTCTCCTTACCCCATCCCCAGGCAACCACCAACCTGCTTTTTGTCACTAAAAGTTAATTTGCATTTTTTAGAACTCTATATAATTTGAATCGTACAGTATACATTTTTTGTTTTATTTTTTTTACTCACCATAATTGTCTTTTGATCCATTCTAGTTTGTATAAAAATTTCATTCCTTTTCATTGCTGAGTAGTTGTCTATTGTATGGACATACCAGAATTTCTTTACCCATTCACCTGTTGATGACATTTGGGTTGTTTCCAGTTTTGGGTTATTGTAAATAATGTTTCTGTGGTCATTCATGTACAAGTCTTTATGTAAACATGTGTTTTCATTTCTCTTGTATAAGTATTTAAAAATGGAATGGCTGGGTCATATGTTGGGTATATGGTTTCTTTGTTTGTTAGGTTTTTATTTTAGAAATAAACAGCCGAACTGGTTGAGAATTACATTTGCTCCACATTTTTTGCCAACATTTGATATAATCATTCCTTTAGATTTAGATATTCTAAAAGGTATATGGTTTTACCTTGCATTACCATAATAACTGATGATAGCTTAGGCTTGGCATTTTCCTAATGACTAATGATACTTTAGGCTTCATTAATTGTCATTAGTGACTAATGATAGTTTGTTTTTCAACTATAGGGAGTTGAACATCTTTTCATGTGCTTATTTGCCATCCCTATATCTTCTTTGCTAAAGTGTCTGTTCAAGTCTTTTGCTCATTTTTTTTTATTGAGGTCTTTGTTTTTAATTATTGAGTCTTGAAAAGTCTTTATTCTGGATGCATGTTTTTTATTAGATATATGATTACAAATATTATTTTCTTCTCTGTGGCTTGCCTTTTCATTTGCTTCACAGTGTCTTTCAAAGACCAGAAGTTTTTTATTTTGAAAAAGTCAAAGTTCTTTTTTTTTTTTTTTAAATACATCATGCTTTTGGTGTCTTATCCAAAAATTCTTTGCCAACCCAGGATCACAGAGGTTTTTCACCTATTTTCTTTTAGGAATTTTATAGATAGGTTTTACATTTAGGGCTATGATCTATTTTGAATTAATTTTTAAAATATGATGTGAGGTATGGATTGAAGTTTTTTTTTAGCTCAATATTCGATTGTTCCAGCACCATTTGTTGCAAAGACTATATTCTCTCCACTGAATTGCATTTAAACCTTTTTTAAAAATTCAGCTGCTCATGTGTGTGGATCTATTTATGGATTCTCTCTTCTGTTTCATTGATCTATTTGTCTGTATTGATGCCAGTACCACACTGTCTTAATTAACGTAGCTTTATGATGAGTCTTAAGGTAAGATAATGTTAGTCCTCCGCCTTTATTCTGCTGAAAGAGTTTCCTTCCCTCTCATCAGAAAACAAAGCTAGAATGGGTGTGGAGAGTTCCTGTTCTCCTTCTTTGCCTGGTCAATGATTTCAGATAATTCACCACAGACCCCTTGCTCTTCCTCATTCAGCTTAATGTCAGCGAGGCCTCCTCTAGACGTATTGGAGCCCCTGCTTTGTATTCCCCTTTTCTAAATGCCCACCATACTGTTCAATAGTTCATCAATGTGTGTGTTTTTTTACTTTCCACATGACAAAGGGACCCTGTCTTTCTTGTTCAACTTTTAAATTATTGAGTGGAGTACTTGGCACATAGAAGATATTTAATGAATGTATGAATGAATGAATCAATGATGTAAGGTATCTAG